GAGGAGTTCCTCAAGGTGGAGGTTTAAGTCCAGTAGCCTACAATATATATGGACGAGAACTTCCAACTTGTACTAAATCAGTAACTCACCAGTTTGCAGATGACACAACCATATCTGATGCTAATAAATCACCTCAGGTTGTTATAGAGAGGCTCTCAGACAGTTTCAACAATGTCAAGAAATGGTGTGATGAAAAACAATTAATAATTAATGCTGAAAAAACACAATTTATCATCTTTAAAAGCCCAAGTAGAAAACTGCCAGATGAATATCACATTATTTTGGGTGGAGTTTTGATTAAACCATCGACAACAGTTAAACTTTTTGGTGTACTAGTTGATCAACATCTAGCATATGGTTGCCATATGGATGCAATTAAAAAGAAATGTAAAGGTCTGCTTGGTTTACTTGCAAGATCAGCTAATGAACTTCCTCAGGAGCTCTTGAAATTGGCCTACACTTCAATCATACGCTCTCAACTTGAATATTGTAGTGCAGTTTTTGCTCCAACAGCAAACATTTATCTTCATAAATTTGATTTTATTCAGAAAATAGCTTCAAGAATTATTACCAGAGCACCGAGTAATGCTCACTCCTCACCGTTGCAGGAAAAACTTGGATTGGAAAGTCTTAAAACCAGATGAAACAATCATATCATCAATATGATTAATAAAATGATTATGGGAAAAAGTCATCCTGCATTTTCTAATATGTTTTTTAATACTGAGGGAGGACTTTTGTGTAGTCGTGATGATAGAGCTTCCAGAATCAAGATTGGTGACAAAAGATTCAGCAGATATGCAGTAAGCATATTCAATGAAATGAACACATGATTGTATGTGTTCTAGTTGAGCGCATTAACATGGGCCGGCTATCACAAGAATATATATAAAGAACACACTAGCTACAAAGATTACTAAATTATTGGATATGATGAACTGAACAGTGCTTCTGACATGGTTGCTCAAGCGTTATTAACTCTAAATAATAGATCAACAACAAAAACAACAACAACTACATGGTTTGTTGTGTGCAATAAATAGGCATATTTCTGGTTCAACACGCATGTCAATACGCATCATTACGTGTAGTTTCGAACGCGATCCAAGAAGGTTCAAGAGCTGGCATTCTGAAGAATCAACAATACAGTGTAATTTAAAAGTTGGAGTTTTTAATTGGTATTCCTTTACAAATGAGGTAAGTTAAAACGGATTATAAATGGTGTCTGATAACGCGCCATTATATTTTGCTTGTGGTTGTGTAAAATTCAAGCTCACAATTTTAAAGATATTTGTGCTTTACCTAATCAGGCGGTCTACCTAGTTCTAATTATATCAAACCTCGATATTTTATCTAGTTGTAGTTATATCAAACCTCGATATTTTTTTTCGCAGCTATATAAAATTCTGAGTCTATGTAGATGAACCGGCTGCAATAGTGGAATTTAAACTTAAAATTTGTTGTTTTTCTTGCCGACATCGTGGATGACATTTTTACGTTTTTGTGGTTGCTATAAAAACGAGCGCCGTCAACAATTATATTAATTGGATGTAAAAGCGTCGCCGACAAAAATATTTATTGGAAATAAACGGATATTCCAAAAATAAAGTTTAGCGTAAGAGCAATTAGTAAATTTAGTTTTTACATAAGTCAGATGTACAAATAAGTAAAAGTAGTAATGTATGATGTACAAGATGTACAAATAAGTAAAAGAAGTAAAAATAGAAAAAAATGTGTTTTCCTTTTATTTATATTTATTATAAGTATTTATTTAAATAAATAGAGGTAACGGAACTGTTGTTAAGCTTTCTGATCCAGTTTGTCCTAGAGAGCCTATATACTCATACATGAGTATATAGACTTTCTAGTTATTCCTACTAATTCAAATATAGAGAAAAAGTACTCTTAAATAATACAGTTTTTCTAACCGCGTCATAGTTACGTAATGCGTCATAGTTACGTAAAGAAGAAATGTTTTAATGTTTAAGTTCCAAATTTTATAATCTAAAAATCAAAAACGCCACCCAAAAATTGCAACCAAAAGAAATATGTCTCATGCCTTACTTTCGTCCAACTTAAAGCTTTTTTAAACCCAGATTTTTTTAAATTAGAATTTTTTATGCATTTATTATAAAATTATTGCTTTGTTATTTGAATTTAAAAAATGACATAAGAACATAAAGAAAGAATTAAACTGTATATCTCAAAGCATGAAACAAATAAATTAATTAACGAGAGGCGGTAAAATTGAAAAAATAGTACTTGTTTGTTCCTCGACATATTGCGCAATATACAGCAAAAAACGTAATCTAATGATACCAAAAATAAAGATTATTGTTTACATTTATAAAGAAAAATGTCAATACATAATAAAGCTGTCTAACTCTTGAGGATGAAATAATTGAACTTTTGTTAATTTTTTAACGTTTGTTTCTTTAAAATTTTGTCTATTATCCGCCTTTTGTTCACACATTTGGCTGTCAGCGGTTGGTGATGTTGAGTAACTTGTATTGCGATAGGTTGTTGGAATTTTATTATTTTTGTTGGGAATTTTTTTATGTACCGATTTAAAGGATATTGGATTACTATGTTTTTTATTAAAATTTAGTGTCTGAAAATCGGTCATGACATTATATTTTTTTATTGAATCTTTTTTTGTTGTCATTTCTTTATTGGCGGCAACATTTTTATCTTTCTTCAAATAAAATTTTATTTTACTTTTTTTGTTTTGTTTTTTAATTGAAGTTAATCCGAAAGCAGGTTTTTTATCTCCGCTTGAAGCAACATCTATTGAACCTAATATTAAAGGTGGTTTCTTGAAACTGTCGCCATTAGTAACAAATAAATTTTTTTTATCTGAAATAATTGTCGATATATTGTTTATATCTGCACAGCATTTTAGATCATCTTTCTCAACAAAGTTTTCAATTACGGCATCTAAGTAATTGATAGCAGACTCTTCCGTCACGGTTGTCTCGTTAGGTTTTTTTAAAGAACTATTAAAATACAGGCTGTTTGCATATCTTCGCACGGTACATACCTTACTAACTCTGGCTGATTGCATATCTTCGCACGGTACATACTTTACTAACACTGAGAGCTAATCATTTTGTTGCATTGTTTATTTTTTTGTTGTTGTATTTTTTGCCTATTTTTTTAACTCAAATTTGTTGGAAAGCAAACATTAACAGCAAACAAAATAAAAATAAAAATGATAATAATAGTTGTAAACATATGTTAATAATAACAATTTTGTTAAAAAAGTAAGCATCAACTATTAAAATAAAAATCATTTCATTATTATATATATACGTATATATATATATATATATATATATATATATATATATATATATATATATATATATATATATATATATATATACACATTTTTTATTTGCAAGCAGCGTTAAATTAATTAATATGCAATAACATATAAGTATCAAATATTGATATTAAAAAGACTATTTATTTTGACGACAAACCGGTTAAAAAAAACGGCAGTTGTTCATCACGTTGGGAGTGACTCTCACATTAAAGTTCTAATCCACGTTTCGTAAAGTTTATAAAAATATATTTTTCACAATGAATTATTTATGATCGTTAAAATAAACGTAGTTAAAACAAGATAAATTTTTTTTGATAAGATCTTAATAAATAATAAACTTTTATAATTACAATGAATATTATTACTACAGTTTTTTATTATTATAACCATATTATATTAAAATTTAAAAATACTTGGTCGTATCAAATCTGTTGATTTTTTGTTCAAAAAATAATACCACGATTTTAAGTCGTTTTTTATAAAGATTACAAGTTCCATACGTTAATTTTTTCAATGACTTTACAGATAAATTGAAAAAGTTAGCAATAAGTTCATCTTACTTATATTCTTATCAAAACTATAATTTTGCGGAATAAATGAAACGGATTAATACTGCTATTTTTCAAAATAATAATTATTTAAAGAAAGGATTATAATGGGTCTTATAATATAATGATAAATTAAAACATAAATATGATGTTTTACATTATTTTATTTAATATAGGGTAAAACGGGGTATGATGGCAAATGTGGCAAGATGGCTTTTCCCATAAAAACTCGACCAGAAAAAAAAATTTAGATAAGTGAAAACGAACCTCTATTTACATCTTGTATTTTAAAACGCTAATTAGTTTTTTTAAATATATTTTTTTTAAATATTATTAACGCAATTTTGTGAGCTTAAGTTAACTTTTCACATTTAAAAAATAATGGATAGTATATTTCGGGTATAACGTTTTTACGAATATTTTTTTGCAACGCGTGTTTATTTTGTGTTACTTTAGTTAGAGTAATTGATTAGTATTTTTGTCCTGGTCACGTGAGCAGATGAAAAACTTATGAATTTTTTATTTTTATTTTTTATTCTACATTGTTCTACTTACAAACTGAAAATTTATTTAAATCATTATGATAACATAAGCATACTGTATTATTGCTTAATGATTTATAGTTTCGCAATATCTCGGGGCTTTTAAAACGTTCGCCATCTTGTCACGTCTTTTCTTACTAATTATAATACTATTATTTGGTATTATTAATATTAATTATGGCGTTAATTTTATTCAATAGTAGTTTTTAGGTTTTACTATTTGTTTTTTGTTGTTGCGCTAGCAATTACAATATTTAGATTTTCTAATAGAATAAAACGAAATAGAATCAAACAATAATCCAATATATTAATCTTTTTAATATATTTTAACATATTAAAATTTTTAATAAAATTAAACAAAAGTTTATTTTAATATGAAGTTATTTATTTAAACATTGTTAAAATGGTGCTCAGAGTTATTTTGATTTTTTTGAAATAAATTTTTTTTTTACCTAATGTAGTGTTATATATATTTATATTCTTGTAAAGGAAATTCAATTAATGAGTTTACTGTATTAATAAAACACATATGTTATTTTTTATTTGTGTCGCTTAACTTTTCAAGATGTCGCTCTCTCATACTCGCCCAAAAAATTTGTATATAACTTTTACATGTGAACAAATATAATTTGAGAATTGCGTTTTCAAAATTTAGGGATAAAAAGACGTTGAAATTCGCTTAGAGCATGATGATTGGCAAACTTTCACTTGTAATTTTATTGTTATTTCTTTTGGATATAAGTGATTCTAAACCACAAGGGTGCATATCTATTCGATATCGAAGGGCGTGCACAGTAAGTAACTTTTATTAATAAATAATGTTCTAAAAATATAAAGATATTCCAATTATATTAAAATAAAATTGAAAAATAATTTAACATTAAATCAGCTCAAAAAATAAAAAAACATAATTATAAATTATGTATTTGATTTTACTGAGATTAACTATTTTATCATACGATAAACCTTTTAAAATTAAACATGCTACAAAGCTTTTAATATTAAACAATTGAAATCTAAATAAAATCACTAGATAATATTTTCTACTTTTTTTTTCATCAAATGTAAAATATTATGATAAATATTTTCTCAAATAATTGTCTGAACAAGATTAAGTATTTATTATCAAATGTTTGTGTGAACTATAGATAAAACAGATGAAACAGCAAAGACACCTTAATGAGAGCAAACTTTATAAAGTAACTGAAAACAAAAAAATCTCATGAAGTTCAAACTTGTATTATGGTTTACTTTATCATTTTATGTACTGGAGTTATGTTTACTGCAATTTAAAGGTTGAAAACTATGTTTAAACACACTTTTACCGCACAATATTTTAAAGCATAGTTTTATATACAGTTTGATAAACATTAACTGAATGTTTAAACAAGTTAACATAAACAAGTTTTATATAAACCTAGTTTGATAAACATTAACTGAATGTTTATCAAACTAGCTATAAATGTACTTTCAATTGCTGAAGGGTCAAGGTTAGGTTTGTAGAAACACAGATGCGTCTATAAAGACACACGCGCGCGCGTATTCACATAAGATTAATGGTTAATGACAGTTACATTATTCAATTTTAAACTTTTCAAACCAGCAATACGTATTTTTAAGAAATATACGAATTTTTAAGATACAAATGGTTTTTTAAGAAATAAATGGAGAAAAACAAAGAGCAATTTAAAAACGTGTCGTCTCAAAGTAGTGTTTAATGTTAAACAAAGGCTGTTGCTTAGAAATAATAAAATATATTCACTTCTTTAACCCTGATTTTTAATTATCTAGTTAAAAAAATTGAATGTAACATATATAACTTGTTCATAAATTATTTAATAATTGTTTGTATTAACAAAATGAGTATAGCATAACAAGTGCGCACATAGACTTCATGAAGCCCATGGATTGATTACTTTTGAATAAAAGAATAAATATTTAAACTTTGAAAAAAATGTTAATTTGGCCACGCAACCGCGTAGCTAAAAAAAAAATTTATTAAAAGAATTTCAAAAACTTCGCTGAGGTTTTATTTAATAATCTTTTAAAACCAATGAAAAATAATATTTTTATATCTACAGATTTGTTTTGAAAAGTTTTCTTTTTAATTATTCTTTGAAGAATTTAAAAAACTCTTTACAAAAATAATAGAAAAAAAAAAGTAATCTCTTAACAACGCGACTCCAGAACCCTGAGATTCTAGAACTCTAAATATAAGTAGGGTTTCACTACTTACTTATTTGACCCCAAAGTACCGTTGAGAATTTTAAAAAATGTTCATATTGTCATGAATTACAATGGATAAAAGGAATATTTGCATAAGTAGTATAATATGAATAAAACATAAATATTGTTAAACGTGAGATAATACAAAGACCTAAATGACACACAAAAATGTGTTCTAAATGTGTAAAAGTCAGCGGGAAAAAAAATACTTGAATGAAAAAAGTGTTTGATTAGCGAATTATTTTCGTTTGTAGAAAACATCAAGTAAAGTTAAAGTACGAGGTTTACATCGAAAAAAGTTATGCTAAACCAAGAGATCGAAAAAAATGAGAAAAGAAAAAATATTTAAAATAACTATTTTTTTTACTAATTATTTGGCCGGGTAATAAAAAAAAAGTAATTACTTTTACGTAGTAATTGGTCAGCTTTATGCGAATAAAAATTTTTAGTATTCTTGCTTAAGTTTTTTTTTCACGTAAAGCTGAACAATTACTGAATAAATTATTTACTTTACGAGGATAAAAATTTGTGTAAAACTGCTGAAGCTTTTATTCACTTAAAAGTGACCAATTACTGAATAAAAGCAATCGCTTTTTTTATTAACCCTGCCTTTTATTTAAAGGTAAGAAATTAATGAGTATAAAAATACTTTTAGTTTCAAAATTTTTTTTTATTTCTAAATAATAATTGTACATAACTGGTGATGGCGACTATTAATTTCTGAACAAATATTATTGTCATTTTCTTGCTTATGGATGACCATGCCTTCATCAATTCTTGTACTAAATTAATAATAGTCTTGTTTTACGCAAATATCGTTTGCCAAAACCCAATTTTCTATAGGTGGAATTATGAGCAATTTGGTGGGAGCTTTTTTGGTGCAAAATTACTCTTCCTTAATTCACTCCAAAGTTTTTTAAGCGCAGTGTCACATCAAATCAAACAAAAGCGCAGTGTCACATCAAATCAAACAAAAGCGCAGTGTCACATCAAATCAAGTGCAGTGTCACATCAAATCAAGTGCAGTGTCACATCAAATCAAGTGCAGTGTCACATCAAATCTAACAAAAGCGTGTTTTGTTTGATTTGTATAGCGTGCGATTAAATGAGTAGAAAAAGTTGTTTTTGAAAGCATATTTTTGTTTTCTTGAGTATAAATTTCTAAAGCCAATGTTAATGACGTCACAAAAGTTATACTCATTTTTCCACAACTACAATTGCTTGCCATAAGAGTAACTTTTTGCCACATTTGTCCATAGGTTTGTATTTAGAGTTGTTGCTTACACTTACACTCATACTTACTCTCACAATTACACTCACACTTACAACACTCACACTTACACTCACACTTACACTCACACTTACACTCACACTTACACTCACACTTACACTCACACTTACACTCACACTTACACTCACACTTACACTCACACTTACACTCACACTTACACTCACACTTACACTCACACTTACACTCACACTTACACTCACACTTACACTCACACTTACACTCACACTTACACTCACACTTACACTCACACTTACACTCACACTTACACTCACACTTACACTCACACTTACACAAACAATTAAAGTATAATATTTGTTACCAGAAAGTTGACTAAAGTTACATTTTATGTAAGTATTGTTGTCCATTAAAATGCAGCCATTCAATTTTGTCAAAACTTGGGTGTAAGGTTTTAGTCCTCGTGTTTTGGCAATGGAATTTTGTTTGTCAAAACGATTTGGCTATCTATTTGTAATTTTAGTATTTCTTCACTTTTCTTACCAAAAAATCAGAAACTCTGTACTTTTTAGTACAAAGTTGTAGTAGCTTTTTAGTGAAAAATCAAAAACTTGGTACTTTTTTTTTTTTGTACTTTTTAGCTTTTTCTCTGTTAGACAAGATTGGATTTTTATCAAAAGAACAATGAATCTTATTTACCACTGATTTATCGTTAAAAATATTTTTTCTTCTTGATCTGTTAGCTCGTTCGATGAATTAAGTCTTTTTATATTATTTTATAACCCTTCTAGCGTTAGATTTAGGAATTCTAGTAGCTTTTTAGACTCGTTTATAGTTCCATGATCAATTTTTTCCATTAATGTGCAAAATGCTTTTCCTGTTTTCAAATTGTGTTGATGAAATTTAAATAAATTATAATTTGAACATTTTTTTTTATATTTTTTTGACAACTGCTATCACTACTAGATAAAATTTTAATTTTTTTTATTTTTTTATTTTTTTCGGAAGTGGTTTCTGTTTCTCGTAATTTTCAATTTCATGCCATATGTTTCTTTTGTTATATAATTTATATATATATATATATATATATATATATATATATATATATATATATATATATATATATATATATATATATATATATATATATATATATATATATACATATATATATATATATATAATTAAATCACATCATTTTATTTAGCTTTGAAAATCATATTTACTATTTAACTCGCTGCTAAACAAGATGTTCTGTGAAATCGCGTGTCAGGCGAGTGTGTACTAAAGCGCGTGTATACACGAAATGCGCCGTTTTCCGTAAAAAAAAAAAATTTTATGTTTTTTATTATTATAATTTAGTCTAATAATTTTTTCCTAAAATATGTGTAAAATGACACAAACAATTATTTACCACCAGCTCAATTGAGTAAAAAACTTGATTTTTTCATCATATAGTTTTTTTTTCTTCATGGGATCAAATATATGTTACTTCAAAATCAGAAACCTTTTTAGTTCTAAATAAAATAGAGAGTAATAAGTAAAAAATTTTTAATAGGAAATGATATATAAATATCTACAAATATTAAATAGATTATATTAAAAAAATACGACATTGTAATGGAACTTAAAGTTTCTTGCCAATTGGCAATCATCAGCCGTATCTATTTTTTAAATCACCGCACTGTTTAACTATTTTCTATTTGACAACTAGGTTTGAATTGGCATCTTTTAATTTCCAAATATTCTTTGATAGTTCAGTGTCATTTTTGTACTTAGGAATAAGTAAGGATTTCATATAGTTGGCATATCTAATTTTAAATGGTGTTTTGCTTAGACCAATGAATTTATTAATAGAAGAATCATCGGAACTTACATTAGCTTGGTATGCCGGGCCGTTCCAAAGAGGTCTCTCATGGAGGGGGGGGGGGTGTTGTATAAGTTCTTTGTCAACTAGAGACACCAAAAATAAATAAATAAACAAGGTCCTCGATATTTGAAATTTGCCAACTTCAATTCAAAACATGTTTACACAAATACTAAATTTTCGAATGTGCTGACTCAAATACATGTATGTGCTAACTCAAATGTGCCAGCTTCAAAGGTGAAAACTAAAATGCAAATATGACAGATTTGGAAAAGGGGTGAGACACCCACTATTGGCTGGGGCTTGTTTTTATCAAGATTCTATTAAAAAATTTTAAACGTTTCCTACATTAGTGCTAACATTTTTACTGAAAGAAGGGTTGAACTAAATATTAAACTTAGGCGCTATGAGCGTTTGTAAATAAAGCCGGACTTTAACAGTGACGTCATCGTACACTGGATCATTAAAAAATTTCTTTGACAAATATGCAGAATCAATTTTAACTCAATTGAATGTGGTAGCTGTTTCAGACTATTTAACAGGTGGTTCGAATCAGCTTGAATATAGTTTAAAGAGTTTTTGGGTTTAGAATATGGTTGAAAAGAATGGTCATTGAAGTTTAATGTTACGTCATGGTAATTATAAATTTCATGTTGCACTGTATTAAAATAGTGAGATCGATTCTTTTAAATATATCAACAAAATGTTTGTTGATATATTTAAAAATGTGTGAGTTTTAAACAGTGCAATTTAAAACAAGTAAATAGTAAATTTCCACAAGTCACATACTTCTGCACTGTCAAATGCTCCCATTAAAACATCGAATAATCCGCTTGATTTTTTAATCTAAACTTCATTATAATTAAGTTGTAATGGCTTGCTTGCGTGACTGGCTTGCATTATAGAATAATGATTTATGGTTAGGGTCAATATATATATGGTTAGGGTCAATAGTTAGATTTTGCTCAGCAAAATTAAAGCGCTGTTAAGAAACTTTTTAGTTTTCAAAAGGTAGAAATCAACAATATCAAAAATAAAAAAATTATAAAGTCGTTTATTTGTGATAGAATTGAAACAATCTGTGGTATCTTGTTTCTACTTGTTGAGATATGTTCACAAGCTCAGAGTTTATATAGGAAAGTATAACTTTAATAATTCTGCCAATTTCATTTTTAGCAAGGTTTAGTAAACGGACAGTTGGATTATTTTTAAAGTTTTCTTAATGACCTTTCAACTTTATGAAACAATTTAATCAGATGTGTTTATGTTTATTTTATTAAAAACGTCGTGATTCTGTATGATGCGTTTACCATCTTTATTTATTTGATTCTTGATTTTTGTATTTGAATTTTTTCTATGTTGATGTGATAGCATTTGTTTTTTATTTTATCAATTAGTTCGTTTTCAAATGCAGACACATTGAAAATTAGTTTAGATTGATGTTTTTACGCCGTTACTATTATAAAAAATGTCGCTATTACATTCTTCACTTTTATTAATAAAAAAGCCATCTAATTGTTTTGATATTGATTCTTCAGTTTTATTAAGTAACAATATTTTCTAGTTTTTTGTTTATGGAATTAAAACGTTAATTACATAGAATTGTTCGAATTCATATGATAAATCAAAATTTGAACTAAACAATCTACAACGAGAGAAAATTCGGCGTTATATATATTCATATATATATATATATATATATATATATATATATATATATATATATATATATATATATATATATATATATATATATATATATATATATATATATATATATATATATATATATATATATATATATATATATATATATGTGTATATATATCTATATATATATATATATATATATATATACATATATACATACATATATATATATATATATATATATATATATATATATATATATATATATATATATATATACATACATAAGACTAAATTTTATCACAATAATATTTGTGTAAAATGTTTGTGCATAAAAATCACAATGTGTATCTTGCGTATTACCCAAAAGTTCTCGATGAAAAGACTTATTCAGTCTTCTAAGATCTTAACAAGTCTCTCATAATCTATTCAACTGATGCTTTTTAAATTTAAAATTATGTTACTTTATTTTACTTTAATTTTTTCTTCTCTTTTTAACTGAGTGTTGTTTTTTCTGTTTTTTTTTTGTTTTTGTTTTTTTAGATATATATTTTAGCAGTATTTGGTTAAATATAATCATTTGTAAAGGAATTATATTTTGCTTATATTATGAAAAGACTTATTTAGTCTTCTACGATCTTAACAAGTCTCTCATAATATATTTAACTAATGCTTCTTAAATTTAAAAATATATTACTTTATTTTACTTTCATTTTCTCTTCTTTTTTAACTGAGTGTTATTTTTTCTGGTTTTTTTGTGAGATATATAATTTAGCAGTATTTGGTTAAATATGACGGAAATATATATATATATATATATATATATATATATATATATATATATATATATATATATATATATATATATATATATATATATATATAAATTTTGCTAAGTGATTTTCTACTAATTTGTAATTGCTCTGTTCTTTTAAGAACATTGAGCACTCTTTTTGTAGAATACATTTTAAGTTGTTTAAATATATATATATATATATATATATATATATATATATATATATATATATATATATATATATATATATATATATATATATATATTTCAACAATTTAAAATGTATTCTACAAAAAGAGTGCTCAATGTTCTTAAAAGAACAGAGCAATTACAAATTAGTAGAAAATCACTTAGCAAAATTTTTACTTATTTAACACTGTGTTTCATTAATAAGGCATTTCTGATGAGTCTTTATTGATAAAATACAGTGTTAAATGAGAAAAAATATTGCTAAGTGATTTTCTACTAATTTATATATATATATATATATATATATATATATATATATATATATATATATATATATATATATATATATATATATATATATATATATATATATATATATATATATATATATATATATATATATATATATATATATATATATATATATATATATATATATATGTAAAACACTAATTAAAAAAAAAGAAGAAGAGTGTTCAACATATCGAGTTAATTTTTGCTGTTTATTGCTGTTTACTGTATCAAGTTTTTGGTCTTGGTTTTTGCCACCAAGAAAGTGACTCAGGGTGGCCTAAGTGTCCCATACTCTTTTCAACTAGGGTCTAGGGATTGATGTAACCTCCCTCAGTAGGATCTATGGGTCATGGAAGCCTAAAATTATGCTCAAGTATATATATAGCTAAGTCTTATACTCTGATGTTATCTATAAAACACACTTGGAATTTTACTTTAAAAATATTTACATTATTTTTCTTGAAATATGGAGACCTTTGATTAACTCTGTTTGTAAGCAGAGATAAAAATCAGTTTTAAAGCTGAATTTGTAGATACTGTTTCCTAAACCATTTTTATAAACTGACAGCATTACTATGACGGAAGACATTACATAAAGCTTGAAATTATTATTCAAATATATCTTTCTTATGGAGTTTTTCATTGCAAAGTCCTTGATTAAATCTCTAAATTTAATATATCTCATGATATATTAAATTTAGAGATCACTTAAATCTATGCGATAATCTTAATCTATGCGATAATCTTTCCAAAACATCCACATTATTCAAAAGCTTCTTGCAATCATTACCAAGAAGTTGTCTACCATGAAATGGTTGCTGTTGAATATGAAGTAATGCGAGCTATTTAGGAGCATGTGTCCAAACCTTTGAGAGAGACTGTAGAAGATGATTTACAACACCAAGCAACAGATGAAGCTCCATGGATAGAAGTAAATCAAGGACAAAAGATTCATATGAGGTATTGATGATGGGTTCATGAAAAGTTTCTGAACGATTTTTCTTTCTTAATGTTAGCACCAACCACATTAAATGTCGGATAATCTCTTTTGATTGACCCAAAAGTTCTTAGAAATTCACACTTAGCAAGATCTTTTGATGAAATTAAAAGATCTTGCAAAGTGTTGATGTTAAACCAATTGCATGAGTGTGCACTAAAATATGCTTTTAGACCACAAATAATATTTGCCAACTTCATACCACAGGACAAAAAAAAGGGAATTTTGTATAAAGGGAAGTTACACATAAACAAGACCTTTTTCTTCAGGTTCTTTACTGAAAAGTCTTCTTGCTCTTGAAGATTAACCTTTAAAATAATTAAGAGAGATTTTACATTATTTTATATTACACAGACTTAAAATATGAAACTAAAAATTTAATTATTTAAAACAATGTTACTTGGAAGAAATGGAATAGATTGGCCTTCTATTCCCTCAGGTCTACACAGGAAGTTCTTTCCTACAATCCGACTTGAAACAACTTGATTTAGTATTAAAACCAGCTTTTTCACACCAGAATTGGACAACCCTGTGTAGTGTTTCACATAAACAAAATCTTTTGCTGTCAGTTCAGGTTCTTTATTGAAAAGTCTTCTTGCTCTTGAAAATGAACTTTTGAAATAATTAAGAGAGATTTTACATTATTATGCATTAGACTAAATAAATGAAGCTAAAACCATATATATATTTAAAACAATGTTACCTGGAAGAACTGGAATAGAGTGGCCTCCTATTCTGCCAGGTCTACTAAGACAAGCTGTTCCATGGAGTGAAATTTCCTTGTTGGCAATGACTAATCCTGCCTCTCTTTCAGCAGCCATAAAATTTAGCAGAAGTTGTGTCCTTTGCTGCAACTTCTGCTAAATTCTTTCGCAAGGTAGAATTTGAGCAACTGTGTGGGAGACCCTTGCCAACTATTGAAAAGCATTGAGAACATTTTCTTTCAACTGAGTTTTGGTTTGCTTTAGGTTTCTGGGTTGCCAAAACGGAATATGGAGAATTGTGTTTTGGTTTGCTAACTAAGCAAATGAAACAATCAAAAACTGAATCTCTTGTAACAGGACGGACTTTGATATTGTAGAAGTCAAACAGCTGTAGTTGTATTTAAAGCTTTCCATCTTCAAGCCTCCTAAGGTTAAAGCAGCAAATCTCACAAATGCCAGTTGGAACTTTTGGATTATCAAAGTCAATTAGTTGCTTCAGAATTTATAGCATTTTTTCTGTCGTGAAGCTTGTTAAAAAGCAATTAATCCTTGCCAAAGCACAAGAAACAAACAATTTTCTTGTTCTTCTTGTGGTTTTTTTCTCAACTTGACATATTTTTTTGTCAATTCAGATACCAAATCTATAAAAAAAAATAGTTTGAATAACTAATGCTCAAACTTTTTCCCAGAATTTTACCATAATATTTTATAAAAAAGAAATTTTGCACTTTTTTTATTTTTTATTTTTTTGGTACAGATAACCAAAGTTGTTGGTTCTTAGTCTTGTCTTCGGCCTTGCCTTAAGGCCAAAAATTAAGGCCTTTCCCTTAATCGTGGCCTAGAAACTGTTGGTCTTTGCCTTGAAAATTTTGGCTTTGAAAAATACAAAAAGTTAAAAAATTAAAAGTTTTCATTCTTTGTTTTTATGCATTTTTGTTTTCGATATTCATAGATATCTAAAAGTATATTTCCTTATTGGCTTTGTTGAATTCTGCGCATAACCTTGGTTTATTTTTAAAACATGAGATTTTGTTGAATTCTGCGCATAACCTTGGTTTATTTTTAAAACATGAGATTTTGTTGAATTCTGCGCATAACCTTGAAACATGAGATTTTGTTGAATTCTGCGCATTACCTTGGTTTATTTTTAAAACATGAGATTTTATTGTAAATTGATTGTAATATTGCAATTGTTACATACAGTTTTGTTAACTTTGGCCTTAACGTGGCTAAAATTTAAGTCTTTGGTCATGAAAATGTTTGTGTAGGCCTTGAAGCTCTTATTCTTGGCTTTGAAATAAAACTCTTGACCTTGGTCTTGTCCTTGGCCTAGTAAATTTTGCCTTCAACCTTGGCCATTCTACTTTTGTCCAACTGCTGTTGATAACTCGTATATTAATTTTTAAACTAAAACACTATAAAAATTTATGGAGTGAATAAAAGTAAAAGTTATCAAAAATTAAGTTTTATTGCTCTAGAGTTAAATATATTGCAGTTTTTTTAATGCTATTTTATACAAATTTGAGAATGGATTTTCTTCCACGGACGGTATGAACAGATTTAGGGACTTATATCAAAGTAATCACCAATGGTAGTACAATCATACCCCCAAAGGATTTTTCTGGTTCATGATATCAAGCAATGTTTCATTTTTCTACAACAGTGACAATATAAATTACAACAATAAAATTCAATATTGTGTCAAAGTTAGGGAAACTTTGTCAGTTTTAATAAAGCTGACTTAAGATTAGTTGTAAAATTTTTTGCTGCAACTGGTAAGTTGTTGTCTAAAGTTGTTGTTGTCTAGATTCTTTGGGTAATATCCAATTAATTTCTTGGTGCGTTCAACACTAAAATCATGGGAAAAAGCAGTGAGAACTTGTTGGATAGGCTTTAAAAGTTTATTTGCAACAGTATTTCCTTCCCATCATTTAATTTCTGGAGATCATCTGAAACTAATTTTAGCATCAATTCACTACTAAGACATTCTTTAAAGATTTTCCGACGGCCTTTTGTTGCAAAAAATACATATAGAGCAACTGTAAAAAATTAACTGCCGCATTATAACAGTCAACTGCACTATGATCAACCAAATTCAAAGAGTGAGCTGAACAACAAATATAGATAGCAAATTGTTTTTTTTTTCCTATAACCTTTTGTTGGATTCTTTTGCACCATCCTGAAATATTAGCTGCATTATCATACGATTGACAATTGCAGTTACTTAAAATTACTTTTTAGACATTACATGAGTATTCCAAAACCTGCTTCCTCTGAATCAACATTAAGACTGAAATAAATCTCAAATCTGGCCTTGTATGGAATACTGTTGCCATATCTGGGGTGGATCTTCTAATGATGCCCTTTCTCTTTTAGACAAGGTGCAAAAACACATTGTAAACATAGTTGGACATGCTCTTGCAGCCAAACTTCAATCTCTGTCACATCGTCGTAATGTTGCTTCTCTTTTTCTTTTCTACAAATACTGACTAAAAATATGTTTTAACATCTCCAAAGATGAGTTTAGAAAGATTCAATGCTGTTTATGAAATTGCATATAATGAATATAATAATTCATTTACAAGAATGATTAAATTACAAGAAGATTGTTCAGAATTAATATAAAAGGAAAAATGTCTTACTCAAGAAATAATAAATTTATTTATTGAAATTGAGGAAGAGAGAAAACTTTGTTGTATACATCCAAATAAAGAGTTGTTTCATTATTATAAAATATCAAAATTTTTATGGAATAATCTTGAATCAGGAAACTCAATTTCAAAAGAAGAAGAAACAAAGTTTTTACCATTAACAGAACTAGAAATGGAAAAATTGGATAATATAAAAACTGGCAAAGTATTACCATTTTGGGCACTGCTCTAGAGAGCTAGCGTCTCTTGTGTCATCTACTAAAATTCATTCTCGTGTTACTCGTCATTCAATTACGTTTCTTCATTTTTCTGCTACTGTTCTTAAGTGCCTCAAAAACTCTTATTCGTCTAGTTATTTTCCTCGAACATCAGTTCTTTGGAATTCGCTTCCTTCATCTTGCTTTCCTGATTCATATAATTTGCAATCTTTTAAGTCGTCTGTCAATCGTTATCTTGCTCTACAATCTTCATCTTTTCTCTTCCAGTAACTTCCAACACTAATTAGTGGTTGCTTGCAGCCTTGTTAGAAGCGAAGATGTTAAAAAAAAAAAAAAAAAAAAAAAAGTTAGAACACGCCATTCTCGTTAATATTATTTGCAACTAGCTTTACTTACAAAAACTTTTAGTCAGCTTTTCTGGTTCTGTTTTTCTGTTCTGTCCATGAAAACATGATTTATCAAAAAGACCTTTATGATTCTGAAAATTATTTGATTCAGCAGCAACTCAGCTTTACCCTACTCAGATAACTCATGCTATAAACAAGGATTACTTTCTCACTTAGTTGAATTCACACTGACGGTAGGGTTACTTATATTGATTTTAAAAATTGTCATTTTTTATACCATTATTCTTTGCATTATTACTAGTAAAGACGTGTCTACATCGGTCTTTTTGATATAAGATATCAATACGATATACATTTATATTGATATCATATTGATATCTTGTTTTACTTCATGTGCAGGAATATCATTATGCAAAGTTAGTTTTTAGGGGGATCTATGCTAGACAGGGATTCATTTCCATCCATAAATAATACCCTCAAAGTTTATAAATTGTATAAGAATTAACATTGGTGGAAAATTAAGTTTTCCGCTGGTAAACCCCCTAGACAGCTTACAGTGTTTCTTATACATATCGACAGTCAAGAACCAGACGACAGCATGTCAATGTAACTTGTTTTTTCTGTTATCAATATACATCTATAAATCGGTAGTGTCTACTATTGGTAGGGTGACTATCTACTAGTTTTTATATCCAAAAGTAATAGAGTTTCAGAAATATTTACAGTAGGACTCTTTGTTACACAATTGTATGTAATAAATTTAAAACATGAATTACTAGAAAGATTACAAACTGTGCGTGTGTCCACTGGTTATCATTAATTAGAATGTAAAGAGTCTAATTTTTATTTTTATATTTAATACTTCTTTAATACTTTTTTCAAAATCACTTTTTAAGTGATTTATAAACAAAATTAAAAAGCCGTTTGAAGTTTCATCATAAGAAGTATCATCACAAGAATTATCATCATAAGATAATACCCTCAAATTTAAGAAACCTACCTCATTTTTACCTACCCTTAAATTAACCAAGAGTTTTATTGACCAAATTAAAATTAAATCTGTCATTAAATACTTGGGCATTTTTCTTTAGAAGAGCATCACCTAGAAACACCATATTGACAATACCTTCTTAAAACTTTTAAAAAGTATCGAAATTTTATAAAGGCACTTGTGCATTTAGATTAAAAAAATTAGCATAACTTTATTACACTTTTATTCATAGTTATATAAATAATGGAGTTATCGCCTGCAAAAGAACTGATGAAGGCTAGCTCCAATGTTTATATCGCCTTCATAAACATGCGATCCGATAAATTTATACTGCGGATTGATTCTAACATTCCACAACCTTTTTTAACGAAATGAGAATCCTCGATGTATATAAACTAAGGTATTCTAGGGGTATTTGTTTTTCAAAGTTACGTTCTAAATGTGTCTTAAACATTTTTTAGATGTGTTTTTAAAATACTTTCTTTACGTAAGAATGTTTAGAAGACGTTTAAAAGACATTTAAAATACATTTAGAACGTAACTTTTAAAAACAAATGCCAGCTGGGTATGGTTTATCGCGTTTAATTTTTAAAGACCTTTTAAATTTGAAACCATTAAGCAAGTTTAACATAAGAGGTAATAATTATGTAAATAAATCGTTTTGTCAAACAAAATTTAATGAATTTTGCGTCACTTATCGTAAGGTACATTTCTGAAAAATTTTTGACTAATTTTGACTTAGCCTTCATTTTTTTTAAATTTTTTTTGCCGTATAATATTTACAATCAGATAGTACATATAAAATAAATAGCCGCAGCAAGAAAAAGACATATGCTGTCTTATCGCATTGCCACTTTTTACATTATCGACGTTAGTTAAGCTAAAAAAGTTAGAAAAAAACGATTTTTCATAAGTGGCATTGATTTAAACAGTAACTGATGTAGAGTCTAAAAATATATAGATCTTCGTATGAGAAAAAAAATTTAGAACTAATAAAAGTGATTTATATTAGTAGGGTAATTTTGTTTCCCCTAGCAATGCTCATAGCAACCGCTAGTTAAGGTTAGTAATAAAAAAAAAATTCAAAAACAAAGAAAAAATTTTAAAGCAACTAGGAAAGGGTTTGATAAAAAATACAAAAATTAAGAAGAGCAGTATATAAAAAAGGGGGATTTTAATAAGTTTGTATATTCAATATTTTTAATTTTATATGCTTTTTTCTTTGTTTTATTCTTCTAATTTTCTGGCAAAAATTGCAGGAGCTGTAATTGTCCAATTGACTTAAAACTTTGTACAGAGATTCATTATAATAAGCTTTATGTCCTGAGATTAAAAAAATTTAGAATATAAACTTTTAAAACAACAAACTTTTTGTTCTTAATATCAGAAATTAGATGATTAATTGGGCGCTTTGAAAAATCTAACGATACTTTAAAATAAAGAAATTTTCAACAAAAATTTTTATCTCAGGACATTTATCTACATAAAACAAATAAAAATACAAAAAATTAGAACTTAATAAATTATACTTTTTGAGATATCTTTGCCAAGATTTTAGCCTGTTTTTGGCCTAAAATCACCTGTTTTAGCCCAAAATATATATAAAAAAAAAAAAAAAAAAATTGAATTTTCTAATGTATTTATCATGTTCGAAGTAAAAAAATTTGTTGAAATATTGTAAAATACAAAAATAATTTTTTCAGCAGTCTACCACCTTAATATTACCATTTAAAAATTAAAAAACAAATTAGAAGTTTTAAAAGTAGAAATGAAGCAAATTACGAAGCCATTCCACGCAGATATTACAAGCGCAAAACAAAATAAGATATTATAAATAAAGAACAGCATAACTTTTTTATTTAAAAACGAAATAAAAGTAAGAATGTAATGATGGTTTTTCAGTTTTAGCTTTTTCAAAAAAATAATTTTTTTTTTTTATCTTTTTTTAAAAGAAATATTTAAATTCAAAGTTTTTTTCTAATTAGAAACGTTTACATTTACTCTTGAATTTTTCTAAAGAGACTTTAAGGATAGTTTTATTTTTAATAATATTATGAAAAAAGTTTTTTTTTATACAAATAGTACACGATATTGAATTTGAAATTAACAGAGCTTTAAAAAAGATCTTAAAGTAACAAAATTATCATTTGAAAATTTTTGTGCAGGATTTATTAGAAATTTTTATTAAGTAAGAGCAAAATAAAGGAGATTTAATTTTAAGTTAATTTAATTAGTTTTAATTTAAACATCAACATATTAAACTTACTCTACGGGCCTTTTTTTTCAAAGTTAAGTGCTAAATGTGTTTTAAACGTTTTTTAAATGTCTTTAAAACGATCTTTACGTAAGGAATGTTTAGAAGACGTTTAAAAGACATTTAAAATATATTTAGAACGTAACTTTTAAAAACGAATGTCCGCTGGGTGTAAACATTGAGTGCATTAAGTTATTTTAAATGAGGTTCTTCGTTAAGAGTTCTGTTAGTGCAAATATATAATTGCAAATATATAATTGCTTGCATGCATGCTTTTGTTTATCATAGAGTTTTTTTAAGTTTCCCATATTATAAGTTAGTATTTCCCCATGAAATATTGCAATATAAAAGATAACTTTGAATAAAGGAAAAATAAAGAATATTTAAAGACTCTAGATTTAAAAATGGTTTAATTCTATATAGAACAAAAATATTTTTAGAGATTTTATTTTCAAAAAATTTATTGTAAGATTTCCATTATATATTTTCATCTAATCCAAGTATTGATATTGCGTATTGATTCTCTTGTAATAACTGGATTATTCATAAGAGGATTGGGTAATTATAAAAGAAGGCATTCACGTTTACTAAGTTTTATATTGTTGTTAAAAATAAGTAAAAAAATTGTATTCTTTTTATTGGAACAACAGATGCTATTTTCCAGCAGGCAGAAAAATGCTCAGTCATTTATTAACAAGAAAGTAATAAGATTATTCCCATGAATGAGAGATGGAATGTTAGACCAACTCTTGTTAACGACGTTGTTGAAGATTTTCCAAAAGTTTCTAGAACCTAACTTCTGAGATGAGATACGAGATTTAGTGAACTGAGAATGATGGAGCTTAGCATCAGACAGCACCTTTATCCATCAACTTCTTGCAATAATGAATAGGTGTTTGTTCTCTAGAAAGTTGTTTATTTAAAAATATAGCACAGGTAGGTGAAAACCTACTTGTGCAGCTGAAATTAAAATTTTGACTTATAACTGACAAGAGGGAATAAAAGCATCCATTCCTGTCTGAGTCCTCGAGGTTTAGTAGGAGGCACATTATCCAACTGAGTGGAAAAAAACATCAACCCAAAGACCGTCACAAAAAAATATTACAAAAAGAATCAGTAATAGAGTGGTAGTAAGTAGTGCGATGATAGGGTGAGTCAAAGTTACCTATCTGAGTAAGAGATTAAGAAATGCATTTATTTATCAAATGATAATACCCATCAACACTGAGGTTTAAAGAAGGAATAGTGGAATTTAAATTAATCTTACTAAGAGCAAGCAAGTCGGTAAATTTTGCAAGAGATAAGATTCAACTGATGGATGGTTACTTTGCAGGCCACGAATATCTGTAAAAGATATAAAATAGTTAGGTAATGGGGAAGGTTTTTATGTTAATGTTTTTGGTTACTTTCAACATGATTTAAATTTAAAGAAAATTTGAATCATTCATAGATAGAGCACAGCCTCCTAAGCAATAAGTTATGCAATTTTCTCAGTCCTGTTAATTAACCCGAAGTCGTAACATAATGTGCACCAAAAACATTCACAGGTACATCATCCATGCGCAACATGACACTGACGCTGGTTTCATCAACAACGGAAAAATATGAATATTAACATATTCATATTTTTCAGTTGTTGATGAAATCAGCATCTCTGAGAGCTACCACAGTGTTCGAAAACCTTACTACCACCAGGCCTCATAACAATTAAACTGAGTTTTAGAACTCATTTGTACCCTCATTAGGAGATACTCTCATATGTACCCTCATTAGAAGGGATACCCTCATTAGGAGGAGATACCCTCATTAGTACCCTTATAAGGATGCACCCTCATTAGGAGATAACAGGAAGACTTGTATAATCACTATCAAGGAAGGACAAGCAAAAACCTATGAATAGAGTCAAGATGATCTCGCAATTACATCTAAAAGAGTGCAATAGTGAAAAAACAAAAAGAACAAAAAGAAAGGTGATAGAGTGAAGAGATGCTAAGCAGAAGCACATAAAAGCATAGTCAAAGGGTTCAAATTTCACAACAAATATGTGAAATAATTTCACAATAAATAGGTGATTTGATGCACATGTATACAAGTAACTATTGAAGTATACATGTAACTATTGAAGTCTTTGCAAATCAAATGATAGTACCCATCAACAATGAGGTTTAAAGAAAGAATATTGGAATTTATATACGTCTTACTAAGAGCAAGCAAGTCTAGTAAATGTTGCAAGAGGTAAAATTCAACTGATGGATGGTTACTTTGCAAGCAAATATTTGTAAAAGATATAAAAAAGTCATTTAGTGAGGATGGTTTTTATGTTTAATGTTTTTGGTTACTTTTAACATGATTTCAGTTAAAAGAAAAATGGAATCATTCATAGATAGAGCACAACCTCCTAAGCAATAAACTATGCAATTGTCTCAGTCCTGTTAATTAACCCAAAATCGTAACATATACAGGGACACCATCCATGCGCAACATGATTCTGTTAATATTTAAATTTTTCAGTTGTTGATGAAATCAGTATCTCTGAGAACTACCAAAGAGTACTTACTACCATGCGGCCTCAGAACCAATAAACTGCGATTTAGAACTGTAGCCTCATTAGGAGATAACAGGAAGACTTGTATAATCACTATCAAGGGATTCATGGGATTTTTAAGTCACTATCAAGGGAATCATGGGATTTTTAAGTCGGAGTTTTTTCTTCTAACCTTTGTTAAAAGTGCAAACTCTACAAGGCAGTTGTTCATGGGGCAGGTAGATCTGGGTTACATGATAGCAGGGTAATTGTGATGATCCTGAACCTGACCTGACCTGGAATAATTAAAAGAAGCTGCTTCTAAAAGTCTTAAAACATTAGGCATGTTATTTTTGCAAATGCATTAGGAAAAATATTGCTTCTAACAAATATTAGAGGTTAAAGTGAGCGTAGGTTTATAGTTGGAGTAGCTAATTAGTTAATATTTAAATATTCAAACATTTAAACAGAACACAAGCATAAAGTAACTTATGAGTGAGTAAACACCGCGCCAGAGGTTCTGACAAAACACAAATATACATATAAGCATAAAGATACAGAACACAAACATACAAAAAGCAACTTACGGGTGAATGAACACTCCGCCAGAGGTTCAAACAGAACACAAACACACATAAAGTTATTTACAGGTGAGTTAACACAGCGGCAAAGGTTCAGACAAAACACAAACAAACGGATATCAACTTACGGGTGAGTCAACATCACGCCATTTAGACAGAACATAAACATACTTGTAAAGTTAAAAAATATGTTTAAAAAATAGAACATAAACATACATTAAATTTATATATATATATATATATATATATATATATATATATATATATATATATATATATATATGTTTATGTTCTTATTTTTTAACTTTACAAGTATGTTTATGTTCTGTCTAAATCTCTGACGTGGTTATGACTCACCCGTAAGTTGCAATCCGTTTGTTTGTGTTCTGTCTGAATCTCTGGCGCTAAAAGAATAATTGTATATATATATAGAATTATTCTTATGATGTCTCGTTATGTATTACATTTATACACGAATTATCTAGATTTATATATAATTTATAAATTTAAATATAAATAATTATACAACAAAATGCAATATATTTAAAAATCTAAAAGTGACTATTTCAAAACCTGTAATAATATATCTACCAAAGATGTTACATTATATCCAGCAAACATGTTATAGTATATCTACCAAACATGTTATCTAATGCATATAAAATAATTATAGTTACTTATATTTATTTCAGAACAATATTATCCAAAGATCAGATGCGATGAAAAGACAACGCGATGAGTATGATAGAAGTACGAATAAAGTTAAGGACGATATATTGCTTGATTTATATAACGTTTTCAACGAACCAAGCTGATTATCGTTTTCAATGATTAAAAAAAAGATAAAAAATTTTAATAGTTTTATATGCAGCAAACAGTGAAATAAAGTTTGCTAATAAATGCGAGAAAACAAGTTGAGTGGGTATTGTGCAGATAACAAAAAAAATTATTATTAATTTGAGAAATAATCTTGACTTTTTTTTAACTAAATTTATGATAAAAGAAGTAAAGACAAAAATTATAAAATGGTTACTGTTATCAGTGCCGTGGCTAGTGGGTTGGAGACCTCCCCCAACAAATAAAATATGTTATTAGGGCCCCAAAATCTCAAAACGTTTTCCACAACGTCCTACTATAAAAAAAAGCTCCTTTAATTTGTAAAAGGGCCCCCTAAATTCGTATTTTAGCTGAGTTACAATGTGTTTTAGATCAGTTACAATGTGTTTTAGATTAGTTATAATGTGTTTTACCTGAGTTACAATGTGCTTTAGTTGAGTTACAATGTGTTTTAGTTGAGTTACAATGTGTTTTACCAGTGTTACAATATGTTTTACCTAAGTTACAATGTGTTTTACCTGAGTTACAATGTGTTTTAGTTGAGTTTAAAAAAACATTAGAAAACTACAATTTATTAATGTGTTTACGTTATATTAATCAAAAAAATATTTTTACACTTTACGTATTTTTCCTTATTATTTTGAATTAATATTTGTGAATCAGTAGAGTATCAGTAGAACACCATATTACAAAGTTTAAAAAAATTTCAATAGTTAAATTAATATAAAAATTAATAAGAAATATTTAAACACTAATAAAATGAACATTAAATGAATAATAGGGCAATTTTAATACGGAAAGATTTTTATTATGTCTTTACGTATTAAAATTAAAATTGTTAGGGAAAAAAAATGGATATTAATAATAAAATCAGAAATAGTATGACTATATTCGAATTTTTATTACACTAACATAACAATTTTTATTACACTAACATAACAATTTTTATTGCACTAACATAACAATTTTTATTACACTAACATAACAATTTTTATTACTCTAACATAACAATTTTTATTACACTAACATAACAATTTTTATTACACTAACATAACAATTTTTATTACACTAACATAACAATTTTTATTACACTAACATAACAATTTTTATTGCACTAACATAACAATTTTTATTACACTAACATAACAATTTTTATTACTCTAACATAACAATTTTTATTACACTAACATAACAATTTTTATTACACTAACATAACAATTTTTATTACACTAACATAACAATTTTTATTACACTAACATAACAATTTTTATTGCACTAACATAACAATTTTTATTACACTAACATAACAATTTTTATTACTCTAACATAACAATTTTTATTACACTAACATAATTTTTATTACACTAACATAACAATTTTTATTACACTAACATAACAATTTTTATTACACTAACATAACAATTTTTATTACACTAACATAACAATTTTTATTACACTAACATAACAATTTTTATTACACTAACATAACAATTTTTTTTAACAAAATTCAAAGACTTTGTCACTAATACCTGCGCAATTTTCAAAATAATACACTTAAGGCTCAGGCAGAGGGGTTTATATATAACTTTTAGGTTTCTAGTTTTCTGTGATAAGACCTAACCATCTTGAAACTTTACTTTCACAGAGCACCGCTCCTTCATCCAATAACGCTACATTCTGTGTTTTTAGTCAAATAATAAAAATTCTACACAAATTAACTTTACATATATTATATTATAATGTGTGTTTGGGAATACCTCGTTGATGTTTGCTCCATCTAATTGTAATGCGGCATGGTGTACTTACTTTTAACATCGTGTGTTGGTATATCAAAATTAAGCATGTAGTGACTAGAATGTTAAGCATGTAGTGACTAGTATGTTAAACATTTCTCGTTGATTTAAAGCATCGTTGAATACTTTAAATCTCCCAGTTTTTTTTTTTTTTTTTTTTTTTTTTGTTTACTCGTCACTAATACCACTCTTAGTTTAAATAAATTTAAAGTTTGTTTATGATACTTTATGATTAAACCGCTTATGTTTATGATAAGCCTTTAAACCGCTTATGTTTATGATAAGCCTTTAAACCGCTTATGTTTATGATAAGCCTTTAAACCACTTATGTTTAGGATAAGCCTTTAAACCGCTTATGTTTAGGATAAGCCTTTAAACCGCTTATGTTTATGATAAGCCTTTAAACCGCAAGTATTTTGCAGAGTTAAGAATAAAAAGTTATCAAAATAACTTATTTTTTCATTTAAAAATATTTTCAAAATAATATTTTTTGGGATTATTTGGACGCTAAAAGTTGTGAATAATTTGCACCTGCTAAAATATATACTTTAAAACACCTTATTTTATATAACAAGATTTTATATTTAGCAGATATTTCTTATAAGAAAATTTTCAGGAGAAAATATTTAGTAGAAATTTTTAGTAGATGTGTGTATGCGTGTGAGTGTGTATATGTAAAAGTGTTGGTTTTTGCGTTGTCATTTTTTATTCATATACGGGTTTTTTCCTGCCTACGTAACTTTTGACGTTTTACGTTTAATGGTTTTCTTTATTGTTTTCGTCGTTAATATGTTTTATTAAAACCTGTTTAATGATCATACTATATATTTGTAATAAAAACTTAAAATACATTTAAAAGTTCTATAAAAACCAGGCGTCATAAAATACAATGTTTGAACATTTTTTAACTGGAACAAAAACTGCTTCTGTTTAAGAGCCGTTTTTTCTAAGAATCAGGCAAATTCCTGAAACTGTGGAAGTTATAATATAGTTCAAAAGTACAAAATCAATCAGTTTTGTCAATTTTTAATCGGAGTTAATTCTAGCGGCGAAGTGTTGCACACAATTTTTCTTTTAGGATTTGAAATTATCAAAGGTATTGAGTCAAAAAATGCAAAGAAAGTTATGTGATACCTAAGGCCTAATAATATATTAAGGCTTGAAATTGGAAAAAAACGTTATAGTATACTTACAAAATGAGCTATTACGGCAGAGGCGCTTAGTTTTGTAAAAATGTAAACATATCCAACTGTCAATACAAAAAGGTCCTAACATAATAATAAAAAAAATTCGTGTGATTTTGTCACACGCATGATATAACATGAATTAAAAACTGAACAAAAATCTAACATCAAGATAACTATATTGCTAATTAAATAAAACATAAATCAAACATTTAAATGTTTTTCCATTTAAAAATTAGTTTTTCATTTATTAATAGAGTCATTTACACACATTATCCACCACATCACACATAATTTCTACTCTGTTGTGGAGGTAATATTATTCAAAGTATATATTAGTTTCAAGTTTTTATTTTGTTTTACAAAACAGTGCTCTAAAATAAAAGGAATATAAATAAAATGTAAAAATAATTTCAGAATGACATTATATAAGACTTTACAAGTATGACTGTATTATAGTCTTCTTCGGATAATGAATAATCGCTACAACCACTGATTAGAAAAGGAGCATTTACTAAACAGATAATTTTATCAGTTTGGTTATTTATCTCCTCGGTAGTAACTGGCCAGCGAAAAGTATTCTTTTCTTGCCCGTTAATCATAAAATTAACTCTGATCTCAGTTATAGATACCTAAAAGTATTAGCGCAACATTTAAAATAATATAATAAAGAGTTTATGATTTGTTTAATTTTGCTTACATTCAGGTAAGGCGATGTCTTCCTCATATTTATTATCATCTTCATTGTCTCCTGTCAGATTAAAGTCATCATTTTCGCCATAAACTTCTTTGTTATCGTTAACCTGACTATTTTCATTATTTTCTGTTGTCGGTTCTACCAGCTTACCTTTTCTTTTCAGGTTACTAAATCTATAACAATATCAATTGTACATATTTTTAAACATATGTAAACAAACACACAAAATTATAACTTTCACCTAAATTTTAATTTCATATTTGTAAAAGAACTATTTAACAGTCAGAAACATAATCTAATTTGCAAAAGTTTTGATAGCAACAATCCCTACCTTGAAAATAAAGATCTTATCTGTTGGCTAGTTACATATTGATCAGGCGGAAGTTCTCTCCTCAGCTGCATGTGAACCTGCTCAAGGCTCATTTTATTACCTGATTCTTCTCCACGAATAAAGTATTTATACAACAGTTCTTTCTGCTGATTTGAAAATCTAAAAGAACTTCGAACTGGTAATGCCCAACCTTGCAATAGAAAAATGTTCATGCAATGTGGTTTGTCTTTTACGGAAGCACTGTTAGAGGATGAAGAAATTGGCATATTTAGTTGTGAAGTAATTTTCATCTTATGAACAAACGAGTTGCAACTTTATCCAATGATGTTAATGATTTCGGAACTGTATGAAGACCGGATAGCATGTGTTCTTCTAACTTAGCATCGCTTTCAAATGATAAAGTACAATTCATTTCAGTGCAAAATCTTAATGAATATAATTGCCTGTCACTTCTTTTCTGTTTTTCCTTAAGTGACTTGTTACGCTTAATTGAATTATCTGTTTTGCTATATGGCAACAACAACTTAATCGAGGGTTTCATTTTAAGATTTCCATACTCTGGTTCAATTCCCTCACCGATATTGAAATAACGCCACATCTTCATACTTTTCTCACCAAACTCAAATGAGTGATAGTTGCTAATGTTCTTAATCTTTGGTCCAGTAACTACAGTTTTATCATTGCTAATTTGAGAAACTGCTACTTTTGCATCTTTAGCGCCAAAACTATAATGCATAGCCTTGTGTATATCTTCAGCAGTCAAAAGATTATTACTAGAGTCAACGTAACTCCTTAAAATTGTCTTTACAACTGCACTCTCCCTGTCACATTGATCTTTTCCACAACAGGGTTCATTATAATCATATCTCAGCAACTTTATATCTCTCTCTTTGCATACATTGTAGATTGCTTCAGCTGAAAGATTTCCCTGATAGCAGCCGGCATTCAAAATTCTGACGATGCTGATTCTATTTATGATTTGGAAATTGCTGTAAAGGATGTATTCAACTAAATAAAACACCTGATGAGAGATTCTCAACAGAAAAAGGCAAAAATCGAAGCTTTTAAGCAATTAAACGATGAAACTGCTTTCTGGCTTAAAAATTTTTGTTTCCCTGATAGCAGCCGGCATTATCAGATTTCGTAAACATTTTCTTGATATGCGGTTGATCAATTCTGAATTGGTCTAAAACTGCAGTGGCTAACGAAACAACATCACCTATTCCCTGATCACACCTATACATTGAAGTAAAGTAAACACGTTTGAATAACTTTCCTGCTATTTTTATGAAGAATATATACACATGTAAACTCATTCCTTTCTTGCCAAAATACTCTCTTTGGCCCTCTCTGTATCGAACCGGAAGAATTTTTTAACAAAAATCTTTAAGCCAGAAAGCAGTTTCATCGTTTAATTGCTTAAAAGCTTCGATTTTTGCCTTTTTCTGTTGAGAATCTCTCATCAGGTGTTTTATTTAGTTGAATACATCCTTTACAGCAATTTCCAAATCATAAATAGAATCAGCATCGTCAGAATTTTGAATTGTTAGTTCTTTGATCATCTCGATAGCTTTGCACAAATCATAGCAATCGGCACATACCACTTCTGATATCTCTGTGTTGGATTGAAGATTTTTTTCAGATGGATCTGATAAGCATGTTTTGAGCTATGAGAAGAAATGTTTGAGTCATTGACACTACAATTGGTTTGATAACTTGTTTTCAAATACCTTTTTCCTTTTTCAAGGGCAGCTTTGAGAGATTTAGAACTAAATCTTTGTGCTAATAAAAATGTTCACACTTTGTTTGATCAAGACTAGATCGGACGAATACTTTCTTCTCTGGAAATGCCAACCCTTTATGAGATGCATGCCATTTTCTTGCTGTTTCTATACAATGTTTGGTACACTCAAATGTGTTCATTATAAACTTTTTGGTATACTTGGTATGGTCTAATAATGAGAGGATAACTAACTTTCCCATGGAATCACTTTTCTTATATACTTTCTGAGCACAAATAATTTCAATTGGGAGAGGGCTATTTATTTCATCAACATTTTTACTGTTAAGAAAATCTATAAGTATTTCCTCTTGTCCAGGAGCAACAGCTTCCGCAAATTTTTTCTTTAATAAGTTTTCTAGGCGAACATACTTGCGTTTTAACTTATCTTTAGTAGTATCTTCCAGATATTCGAACTTCCTTTTTAATCTAAATTTTATTGGACTTGCATTAAGAACCTCAGTTACACTCTCACGGCTTCTTAGAGATTCGTCCAAAATCTCCTGTGAAACATTAATTTCACCGGGATCAAATTCTTCATCTGGAGTAGCAGGTGTCATATATGTTTGTTCTTGTTGTGTTTGTGTTTCTGTACATAAATTGGTGTTTTCGTTGACTCTAGATAAAGCAGTTTCTTGCTTTAAATGGGTAAAACACAGCATTGCACCAACTGAAAATACTTCATTGTATCGCTTTGACATTGATATGACAACATGTATTGGTGACGCCCTTAAAGCGGGAGATTTTTTTCCTTTTATATTTAGATGGTGAGGATGAAAGCGGTGAAAAGCACATATTAGTTCATCCTTTTCAAGATTTCTTTTAAGTCTATTTGCATTAAGTCCATTTTCTTCCCAAATATTATTATCGTTTAATCGCATAACCTAAAAACAATTTTTTAAACAATTATTAAGTGTGTCATTTAAAGCATTGTTTATAATCTGACTCTTCACGAAGTTTATTTTAATTGTTATTTATTTCAATTGTTATGATTTTTATATCATAGTCAGAAACGCTTAAATTTTTTCTTAACATTACGTGCAATGTTTTGTGTAATGCTAATTGCTAATTTTGGATGATAGAAATTTTATTGTGAGCGAAAACCTCATCTGTGTGTCCAAAAAATATTTCTTCGTACTTAATCATTTTTAACGATTTGTACCTTTATTTTTAACTTAATATCTAAAGATCACATGAGTTTTTTTTTAAGCTATGTTAGGGTCATCTTATATTGACCATTTAACATGATTATATTTTTACAAAACTTAGCGCCTCTGCCGTAATAGCTCATTTTGTAAGTATACTATAACGTTTTTTTCCAATTTCAAGCCTTAATATATTATTAGGCCTTAGGTATCACATAACTTTCTTTGCATTTTTTGACTCAATACCTTTGATAATTTCAAATCCTAAAAGAAAAATTGTGTGCAACACTTCGCCGCTAGAATTAACTCCGATTAAAAATTGACAAAACTGATTGATTTTGTACTTTTGAACTATGATAATTAGCCAACCGCACAGTGTCACGCAACTTTTTTATATTTTTTGGAGAGAGCTTTTGGGTTACGTCTGATATTAACTACAAAAGCTATGTGCAACTTTTTGCCTTGCCAAAAAAATGGGTTCAAAGGTGGCAAAAACTAAATTTCTAAAAATTTTTTAAAAAATCTCAAAAATTTAAGCCCAGATTCCGAGTGAACGAAACATTTTTGAAAATTTTTTTTTTCCCTAACAGGTTTTCTCTATATTCTGATCAATATATAAAAAATTCAAGCAATTTGGAGGAGGTTACTTCCATTGACTGCCTGATTCTTACAAAAAATGACTCTTAAGGAATATTTTTTTATATCAATACTTTTTTAAGTGGTAAAAGGGTGTTAGGTTAAGGACGTTGGTTTTATTCATAAATTTACCAAAGTAGAATAGTCACAGTACACATACCGCTATTTATTTAAAATTTTTTGGTAGAAAATGTTTAGTAGAAAAGTTTTGGTAGAACATTTTTAGTAGAAAGTCTCTGGTAGAAAAAGCTTCTACTAAAAATTTCCTATTAAAAAATTTTTAGTAGAAAGTTTTAGGGATTCATATTAAATGCAGTGATAGGTGAACCTTTTGCAGAAAAATAAAAAATGTTTCTTATTTTTGAATAAACTGTTTGTTAATTAGTTGTTAAAGAAACATTAAACTTTCTTCATTTTTCGAATATAATATCAATTTATTTAGGATTAGCCATTTCTGTATTTTACTTTTTCCAGTAAATTTCCAGCTACTTAAAAAAGTTGTAATTTACATGAGAAAAATCAATGAGAACTTAATTTTTTTTGAAGGTATAAGCAGTAATTTCCAAAGTTTCTATTCAGCATAAAATAGGTAAATATTCTAATAAGTAAGACAATTTTTTTAAATTTTCGCTAAAATCATTTAATTTATAAAATACATGTTTGGACTATATCATAGCCATGCTCAGTTAAAATATATTAACTTATATCAAACTTGTAAAATTAACTAAAAGAGAACTTATAATAAAAAATACAATAAAAACACAATTAAAAAATGTAACAATTCTTTTAAAATTTAAAAAAGCTGGGTACAAGTTGCGTTTGAGAACTTTAAAAAGATCGTTAATATCATGATTAAGACTGAGGCTAGTGTTGTTTATTTTATAATCTCATTAAACATTTAAGCAGAATATATAAGTAAAACTAAAAAATCCTGTGTAAAGTCCCGAGAAAGTTTTTTTTTTATGAACAGTAGTAATAGTGGTAGGGGAAAGCGGGGCAACATGGCGAATGGGGCAAGATGGGTTTTCATATAACAACTCAACAACTTGAAACAAAATCTTGAAACTGGGTGAAAACAAAACTGTATTTGCATCTTGTATTTTAAAACACCAATTGGTTTTTTGAAATATTATTAACGCAATTTTATACGCATAAGTTTACTTTTTGCGCTTAAAAAAAAATTCCTCACTTTCGGTTTCTCATAATGTATAGTGTTCTTCAAGTTTAACTTCTTTATAAATAGTTTTTTGCGATTTTTGTTTATTTTTTGTTACTTTAGTTAGAGTTATTGGTAGTTTTTAAAATTTTATAAAATTGGAGGTAAAAATTACATTGTAAGTCATCTTGCCCCAGTCATGTGACCAGTTGACAAGTTTATGATCTTTTTATTTTAATATTTATTCCAAAATGTTGTATTTGCAAACTGAAAATTCATGCTGACAATAAATCATTTTAATAACATAAAAATACTGAAAAAGTATTACTTCACAACTGATAGTTTTGCAATAACTCGGGGCTTTCAAAACGTTTGCCATGTTGCCCCGCTTTCCCCTACTGTTTGTTTTATTTTGATTTAGGTCCAAAAATGACATTTTAGATTTGTTTCTTTTTAAATGAAAGATATACCAGAATTTTTGATTTAACTTCTTTTTGCATTGTAAAAGAATAGAACTATGTTTATTAATGATATACTTCATGAATCGGCGTGATTTTTAGATGTGAAAGTAATAAAAATGTCATCTACATAATATTAATAAAAAGCTGGTTTTTTTCCGTTACATGATTTGAGCCATTTATCTTCAAAATTTCCTATGAAAAGATTAGCAAGAACAGGTGGTAAAGGAGAACCCGTCAAAAGGTGCTAAGGAGAATCCATAGCCACATCATCAATTCGGTCGAAAATCTGTCCTTTGACAAGAAAATGAGTTTGAGATGATCGTCGTTTCAAAAACAAAAGAACATGGGAGTTGAAGACTATACGGTCTTGTTGTCGAGTACCGCTAAAAAATGTTCATGATAAAATTTGCAAGATATTTACAAGATAAAAAATAAGTTAACGAAGTAAGAAACTTAAAATATTCCGTTATAAATACAAGATGCGTTATATCTATTCTATATGTTGATTACAGTTTGTGACCTTAGAGTAATAGG